TTTTTAAGGATTTTCTACATAAATGATTATACCACCTGAGAATGATAACAGTTTTACTTCTTCTTTTCTAATCTATATTACTTTTATTTCTTTCTCATACCATATTGGTTAGTTACCTCTAGTACAATGTTGGCCAGAAGTAGAATAGCAGATATCCTTCCCTAGTTCTCAATCTTGGGAAGAAAACATTCATTTTCATGATATTAATAGATTTGTCATAGTTGCTATTTATCAGGTTAGGAAAATTTTCTTCTGTTCCTAGTTTGCCAAGAGTTTTTTTCCCTGAATAAAGGCTGACATTTTTTAAGTGATTTTTTCCCCTGCATATTGAGATGATAATGTGGTTTTTCTTTTTACAGTGTTTATATAATGAAATACCGATTGTACTTTGAAATTTGAACTAACCTTGTATTCCCAAGATGAACCTAATTTTCTTAGTATACGTCATCCTTCGTATATATTGCTGTATTTTACTTGGTAAAATTTTTGCCTCTATGTTTGCATGTGATATTGGATTGCAATTTTCTTTTCTTGTCTTTGTCAAGTTTTGCTATCAGTTTAATGCCGAACACATTAGATGAGTGTCAAAGTATTCCATCGTCTTCTAATTTCTGGAAAATTTCATATAGATTTGTTGTTATACCTTTCTTAAATGTTGGGGAGAATTCAATAGTGAAACCATCTGGTCCTGGAGTTTTCTTGTAAGATGTGTGTGTGTGTGAGTTATGAGAAACAGAGGTTTTTAAACTAAAGATTAAAATTACTAAGATGGATATAGAGCTATTCAAGTTATCATTTTCTTCTTTGGCAGTTGTCTTTCAAGGAATTTGTCCATTTCATCTATTTTGTTGGCATAAAAATGTTCTTAATATCCTTATCATTTTAATGTCTGTAGAATCTATAGTGATGACATCTCTTAAACTCCTGATATTGGTAATTTGTTTCTCCCCTCTTTTTTTCTTGATCAGTCTGGATAGAGGGTTTTATCAATTATATTTTATTGATCTTTTCAAAGAACTAACTTTTGGTTTCATTTATTTCTCCTATTTTTCTTCTGCTTCATTCCAATTTAAGTCTACTCTTTATATTATTTCCTTCATTTTGCTTGCTTTGTTTTTATTTTGCTGTTTTTCCTAGTTTCTTTAGAAGTTTAAATGATTGAATTGAGCTCTTTTTTCTCTAATGTAAGCAGTTAATGTTATAAATTTTCATGTTTTCATTTTCATTTAATTCAAAATATTTTTAAATTTTCATTGTGACTTCTTGTTTGAATTAGAGTGTTACTTCATTTCCATATAGTTAGAGTTTTTTTCAGATACCTTTCTATTATTTATTTATTTATTTATTTATTAAACATATCTTATTGATTTCAGAGAGAAGAAAGGAAGGGGGAGAGAGAGATAGAAACATCAATGATGAGAGAGTCATTGATCGGCTGCCTAGCCCGCAACCCGGGCATGTGCCCTGACCAGGAATGGAACCCGATCGCCTGGATCCAAGGTCGATGCTTAACCGCTGAGCCACGCCCCACCGGGCTATTATTTATTTCTAGTTTAATTCCATTGTGGTCACTCAATATACCTTGTTCAGTTTAATCCTTTTAAAGTTGATTAAATTTGTTTTACCATTCAGATTATGGTTTATTTTAGTGAATGTTTCTTGTGCACTTGTGAAGAGCGTATTCTGCTGCTGCTGGGCTGAGTACCTATAAATGCCAACTAGGTGAGTCGGTTGGCAGGGCTATTCAAGTCTTCTATATCTATACTAATTTTCTGTCTACTTGTTCCGTTAAATACAGACAGGAATTTAGAAGTCTCTAGCCACAGTTCTTAATTTGAGCATTTCTCCTATAACAGTACCGTTCACTTTACCTATGCTGAAGATGTTACTTGATTCGTACACAGTCAGCATCATGTCTTCTTGATAGAACTGACCCCTCTCTGCCGGATTCACCCTTTACCCTTCTTCAGCCTGGACTCTGGCCCAGGAGGCTGAACTTTATAGATTGTATCCTTGCCCTCTATTTTCAGTTTAATTTTGGCTGACGAGAAACACCAGGGGAACCCTGGAGCGCGCAGGGAGAGCGTTGGGCGCTTAACCCCTTCAGCTCCTCCCTCGGGTTGCGGTCGCGGCAGTTTCTCCAGGCCGGCACCGTCGGCAGCTGTCCGGCAGGTGGCGCCTGCAGCAGGTCTCCCCGGCCTCTGGCGGCCCCTCCTTCCCTTACGTCGTAGGCATACTGGTCATAATGATTTTATTAGTTCTGGTTACTTCACCCTCGCTTATTGTTTCGGGGGGGAACCCCGTCCCCATCTTTTTTCTTCTTTTTCTTTTTTTAAAAATGTTTTTATTGATTTAAGAAAGAAAGGAAGGGAGAGGGAGAGAGAGCGAAACATGGGTGAGGGAGAAACATCAACACGGCCGGGCTGCCTCCTGCGCGCCTCCTCCTGGGATCCAGGCCG